ACTCGTCAACCAAGCCGTGTCAGAGGCAATCGATTTGCAACACTCTGACATATTTGAAGACTTAAGAGGCTACCCATTCTCTACGATCAAAAGGATCACAGCAAGAATGTTACGCTTTATAAAGATTGTAGTCAAAAGAGTCAATCAACGACCAAAGAGCAACATCCGTCTTCCTCCATTGCTTGGAAAGTACAATGGACGCTACAATGTGTACCTTGATGGAGAAGAAATTGCAATAGCGGGGAAGATTGTTATACAAGTCCATCAAAGAACATTTTGTACAGCAGCAGTATTGAAATCGTTAACGCAACTCAATATAAAACGGGACAAGGAAGGTCTCATGAGATGCCACGGTCGAATGGGAAAAAGCCGCTTGCATGATACAGCAAAATTTCCTTACATCGTTCTCCAAAATTCTTGGCTATCGGAAGCGATAATTCAGGAATATCACTGTAGAGGACACCCTGGCATAGGCCATACAATCGCACTTGTTCGCCAGAAATTCTGGATACCAAAATTACGCGCACAAGTTACTCGTATCATCCGACGATGTGTAGAATGCCAGCGCTTCAACAATCGACCGTACAAGTACCCCAATCAGAGTGACTTGCCACAAGTAAGGGTACAGCAGACGTGTCCCTTTCAACACGTCGGATTGGACTACTTCGGCCCACTGACAATAAAAACTAGCGAAGGCGGCACAAGTAAATGTTACGGAGCGATTATCACTTGCATGGTGACTAGGCTTATCTACCTAGACGTAGTAACAGACCTTTCCACCATAGCATTCCTCAACATGCTTCGAAGGTTTTTCGGAAGAAGAGGAGTTCCAAAATCTATCACAAGTGACAATGCTCCTACATTTCTCCTGGGAGAAGAAATCTTAGCAGATAGTGTCATCAAAAATCTGGAGCACGAGGTAGCAGTTACCAGGGATATAAGCGATCGTGAAATTGTATGGAAGCACATAACACCATTTGCACCATGGCAGGGAGGATTCTATGAGAGGCTGATAAGATCAGTAAAACAAGCACTGTACAAGACTTTGAAAGGATCAACATACACGTTCGAAGAAATGTCAACTACACTTGTTGATATAGAAGCTCTACTCAACACAAGGCCTCTAGTCTACATGAGCTCAGATTCGTGCAACGAAACCATCATCAGACCCATTGATTTCGTGCAGAATGAGATCATTCTCAATTATCCAATTGAAACATCTATATCAAATGCGGAAGACCCGCCATATCTGCCGTCCGAAGAACAAATGGTACTCAGCACAAAATTGCAAACTATTCAAGCCCTGGAAAGCTCCTGCAAATCTACCGACAAGTTCTGGAAAGTTTGGAAGACACAATACCTCACAGCTCTGCGAGAGAAACACAAGTTGGAAGTGGGACACAACAAATCCAAAGCGCTCCCTCGCGTTGACGACTGTGTTCTCATTATGGACGCCGTGCAGCCCAGACATTCTTGGAGAATGGGCCGTATAACAAAGCTTGTGAAAAGTGAAGATGGTGAAATAAGAGAGGCTGTTGTGATTCTGCCGTCCAGGAAACAAGTATGCAGACCAGTAAACCTTTTGGTGCCTCTCGAGTTAGAAGACAGAACTGTGAAAAGAACAAGTGAAAACGACTCCTCCGATGAACCATGCAAGCGATACAATAAGAGGTCACGAAAAACAATTGAGTACAGCAAAGGAAGCAGTTAGGTCCGGCGTGGCGGGAGTGTCGCCAAAGGCGACTATAAGAATTTTTAGCGGTGTCGCCAACGATGCTGTAGATTGTACATAATGTATATATTATTGTTCATTTGTGTTCGTTTTGCCTTATATCGTAGTAGTTAGAAAAGTCTCACGAGGATCAGCCGGACAAGTCATTGCAACCTCACTTCCATCACCTTATCAGTGCTCTCTTCAGTCAACAATGACTTCGCAAGTAAACAAGCCCGAGGGTATAAATACCGATGGATGAGTGAGGTCGAGGTTATTCTCTCCACAAGTGCCTGCTGGGAGGACGACAAGTCTCCGGCTCACCAAGAGGATTCTCTCTACAAGTAGTTCGCTGTGAGGACGACAAGTCTCCGATAGGCAATCTTCCTGCACAAGTCTTTTCCGGGTAACATTAGATCCAACAAGTACTCTGGACCAGAAGCATCAAGTCTCCTGTGCACCAAGACGTCTCTGAAGGATCACAAGTATCCTGGGAAGCAGTCCGAAGATTGACACATCTCTGGAGACACTTCACACATCTACATATTCATTGTTTGTTTGTATCTCAATAAAGCTTCATCACTCAAGTCTGAGGTACCATACAGACCCGCGTGGCAACACTAAAGCAGCCTCACCACTAGCCATCCCTTTGCTACACCCCGATTATGGAGACGTCTTCCTACGTGTATCTCGGACGTTCGATGAACATGGAGAACGACTTGAGGGAAGAACTTAACAGGAGAAGAAGAGCAGCCTGGGCCGCCTTCGGGCCCCTGAAGGAAGCCACCGACCAACTGACGGACCCGGAGCTTCGTGCCCACCTGTTCGACTCAACCGTTCTCCCGGCGCTCTGTTACGCAGCTGAGACTTGGGCCGACACTGTAGCCACGTCGAAAGCTTTACGGACCACCCACAGAGCGCTCGAGCGCAGTCTTCTGAAGATGACCCGACGCAAGCAACATCTAGTCGGACTTCGCAGCACGGATATGAGAAGAATGTCCCGTCTTCGTGACCCAGCGGAATACGTCGCGAAAGCCAAACACCGATGGGCCGGTCACATAATGAGAAGAACAGACGACAGATGGACACTAAGAACATCGGAGTGGATTCCTCGCGAAGCCAAACGTCCCCGAGGAAGACCTCCAACGAGATGGGCAGACGTGTTCGTGGAACGGATGGACCAGCTGAGAAATCAGCTGGATACGATTTTTGCACCTGGAACTCGTGGACGCAGCCACCGACGTCAGCCAAGAAGATCGTGGATGTCAGAAGCGAGGGACAGGGAAAAATGGAAACTTCTGAGCTGGGGCCCGCACGTCACGTGAAGCCGGGCCATCTAAGTATCTAAGTATCTAAGTAATAAATTCAATAATCTATTCGAATTCGTATTTATTCCTTGGCAAAAAAGTTTTCTTTCTCAAAAATACCGATCTTACATGGAGATGCTTCAAGAATGAACAGTTGTTTACAATTCATTTATGATATACAGCCTCGCGCGGTGGGTTTCAAAGTCATCATTTTGGAAGCATGAATAAGGCATACGGATAACAGAGCCAGTGCGAACCTCCGCGAAGTGGAGGTGACGCACTGGTGTATTATATCATTCATTCTAGGACTAGGAGATGCGAGACCGCGTTGCACACATTGTCTAAACAAGCCTAATCGTGTACTCAGCAGGTTTATATCTGCTATTTATGTTGTCGGAGTTTATTCACTCTTCGGAAACAGGGATGAACATGCTGAAACTTGTTGAGATAATGCCCGCAATGCGGTCTCGCGTCTCCTAGTCGTGGAACAGATGATATGTTCTTGCTTGCTTTCGATAATTGGCATGGCTCGTCACGACTGTTAGCAAAACTTCAAGGAAGGATTTTGAAGAGTAGAGGGGTGCGGGAACACTTTTTGAACTTCTATTTGAACATCCGGGGTCCGGGACAAGATGGGTCGTGTCAAAAAAGTGAGAGATCATCCAGTCATCCATATCTATATCTTATTATCCATACAAAAGCTGCAGATGTGACAATTTGAGCCTATTGCAAAGGAAGCACCCCCCCCCCCCCCCAGATGACACTGTCGTTGACATCTTGAAAAAGCCTTTGAAAAGCAGATTTTTGACATTTTCACGGACTTTTGACGGCTGACTTAGGCAAAGCACTTTTAGAAAGTTCAGGAAGATATTATTCAAAATCGAAAAATTGGTTTGAAAGAGGAAGAGGACATCATGGCGGCGAAAGAGGAGGTCCGCGTGGACATCTGCAATGTGCACCCTCACACGTTAAAGGTAGCTATCGGGCACATTCTCAAACCCCGCGACCGTATTTTGCATGGATTTATCGCGCAAAGCGTGGATCCTGGGGCGAAACTGCCACGAATCCATGCGAATACGATCGCGGGTCCAGTCTCGAGGGGAATATCTCAATCACTAGAGCACTACATGCGCTGCCGCCTGGGCAGTGCCTTAGTTAGGGCCTCAAAAGTACTTTCCACGTAAAATCCCCATAGGTCCAGATCTGCCTGGACGCTGCCTTTAACATCTAAACGGTACGTGTTCGATTGTAATTACCATGTGAAAACGCGTCAAAAGCTGAGGAGAATTCGTTCGAGGAGGTTGGCCTCGTGAGGAATCGAGCGAGGTTTGCGAGAATCTCGTATCTGGCCAGACGCTCCTTCAAGGCAGTGTCTCACAAAAAAATCAGTTGTCGAGATTTTTGCATAGTGCAAGCCTTTTCATCCCTGTCTGACTCAATGGGGTCCGAAATCGCGAAATGCACGAAACCCCTTTTTCTTGAAAGCCCCATAGAAGCAACGCGGACGAGTTATGCCTTCTCAGCCTAACCTCCGTCACTGTGGTAGCAACACCACGGAGGTGACCGTCAAGTGGACATGTTGAAACGTGTAAGGGGGCAACCGGGGGCGTCGGCCGTGCAGACCAAATGCGCTTTGCGGGCCAGCTTGCGTTCAAATTTCTCCGCGTAGAAGGCCCCAAATCAAGTCGGACTTGGGGCGATCGCCTGTTCAAGGGGTCCCCTAACGAAGATGAAGAGACTCGCACTACCCTAATTTTGGTGAGACACTGCGTTTAAGACTCGTGCCAGCTGTCCCCGCGGGTGGAGCTTATCGACGACATATTGTCCTTTCCTGCTTGAATACTCCTTTGATTCTGCAAATGTTCGAGAGGCTCCTATGTCAGTTAAGAATATGTTTGCATTAGCGAGATAGAAGTGTGAGCTTGCAGAGGTTGTTCCAGCAGCGAACAAAAATTTTTGTGAGACATGACTTGAGGACATACCGTGATAATACAGCCAGGAGATCCTTGTGGTCGACGTTTTCATGCATAAACTTTTTAAGAAACAGTCGCAAACCGTCGCGAAATGTGACTTCACCGACAATACGCTCCACCATCAATATGATCAGAGTAGCCTATAATTCGGTAGCAGTGAATCTTCGATGGCTTCGTTTATATGGAAAGAAACTGGAAACAGATACAGTATAGGTTAGGGCTCGGCACAGGTAGCTTACGAAGCAGGAAGGATATCATATTGGGGGGTAATATGCAAGGCGGATATTGTTTTTGAATCCGGGCGGAGCCCTGGAAAAAATACGGTGTCAGTCTGGCTTAGTACGGTGTATATGAAAAAATCGCCAATCCCTTCGTTCAAAATCAGAAGCTTGGAGTGGTTAAGAATAGAATCTTCAAAATGCTTTCTATTGACGCAGTCTATTAGGTCGTGTAATAAGTTCTGTCCCATTTCTTGTTTTGGCTTTTTCTTGACAACATCGACTATATTTGAGATAAAGTTAATATGCTTTTGAAAGCTCTAAGTCTGCTCTGCAGATTCGTATGCATCATTCTCCAAATAGCAGAAAATTGAAAAAGATGTCGAAAGAACTGAAAAATCAATTTTCGACATCTTTTTTTCCCCAACTTTTTCTCGATTTTTATTGGTAGAACTTATTAAACAAGCTTGACAACAAACAAAACAATCTGCTAGACTTTTACACTTATTCTATAACTGTTTGCACATGTTATTCCACCGGCTATTTAATGACATTTTTTCCAAAGTCGGCAAAGCAAGACTCTGTCACGGCGATGTTCGCCGTCTCGCGTACCCAAGCTGTGTGGCTCCCAAAACTCGAATTTCGAGTATTTACCCTACGAATTCGATAATTTTGAAACCATAAACCATCCCTTCTGTCTATTCTGGATGATCTGTCTACCACCTTTCCTCAGGATGCCTTCCGATGATGCCCAACACCAACTTTGAAAAGGCGTTAGAAGACTTTTCTAAAGTCTGCAAAATTGATTTTTGAAAAGTTTCAGCACTTTTGAAGCGCAATGGAAGCTAGAGCATTCTTTGCTTACGTTAGCAAATTTTTCGAGCTTATTCGTAGGCATTCTGACTAATTAGGAGGGCGACGTAACGTAGTTGTCGAAAAAAAAATGTCGAAAAGTTTTCTTTCCTGTTCGATTTTCCAAATTTGACGCTGTAAAACTTTTTCAAGTCATTTGATGTAGAAAACCGAGATGAAAGTTACAGTAGAAAAGGCTGAGAGCTTTCAAATGCATATAAACAATCTGCACAACACGCAAAATACTGAGAAAAAATCGAAGGAAACAATGGGACAGAACTTATTACACAACCTAATACAACTGAGTTTTTATATGGAATTAATCGATTAGAAAACTTCAAAGAATTGGCCAACTTTACGCCCATAAAATCTTGGCAGCCCTTCCCTGACGAACACTTGACCCAAACCGGCTTTCATCTTCCCCCCCCCCCCCCTCCCGGTCCCTCACACTCACCTCTTCATCTTTTCTAGACGCCGCAAGTGCTCATTTAATGGCTTACCAATCTTATTTGCTGCAAAATCAAGAATTTCCCGCTCCGTAGTGGTATGAGGCGCCGCTATAATCAGATCGGACCCAGGTTGGATCCCGCACCTAGGCTAGCCAACTCTACCGTCGGAGACGGTAAACTGTACCAGAGTAATCTAGTACAGTTTATCGTCTCCGGTACCAGAGTAATCTGGGAGGATCGAAGCACTAACTTGATTAACGGCTGGCCCCCTCAAGTCACTGTAAAAGGCTCGCAAGCATTCATTAGCCTCTTTGACTATAAAGTAGAGCGCGTTCGGCGCATGCCCGCAGAGGGTATTGAAGACGCTGAATCCTTTCCTTCAATATGCTCTCCATGCAAGCGCGGGAATTCAAAAGTGAGCCCGAAAACAAAAGGCTTGTTCGCGGCAAAGAGAAAATGGTTTGACATTGAATTTGGTCTGTAGTCGCGCATCAGGGAGTTGAATCTTGTATGAAAATTCATGAAAAAGTTATGTGAACAGAAGGCTCGGAAAATTTCATTTAGATGGCTTTTGAGCGACCGGGAAAGCCATCTGAGGTGATTCACAAAACAAAGTTGTAAAATTCTCTCTCGGCATATAACTTTTCCGCAGTTTTACATAAGTTCAGTCTACATTCAAAACCTTACATACACTTCTCCTTCTCCCTGCCTAGTCACAGCCCACCGAAAATTTTCAACGACGGCGACAGCCTTGCTTCAAACGCGCGGTGTTGCTCCCGGACATAGCATGCCGCCAATTCATTGCGAACATCAGAACTTTTTAACAGTCTGTTCGTTTTCGTTTCTATTATTCTTTGTCTATTTGATTTAACCTATTTATGGGCTCGTCCTAGGAGATATCGTGTTTGGTTGCGAAGTCAGTGGGGATTTTGTTTTCAAAATTGCAAAAGCCACTTCTTGCTGAGCAGCCCTGGTTTAGGTTCTGAATGTACTCCGCTAACAAAATATACCCAACCTACAAAATATGTTTTACGCAGTCTTTTCTCACACACACTCATCAGAGATTTTGAAGTAAGAACTAATTCTTTTGATACAAAATGTTCACTAGTTAGCGATCCACCATCTTCCAATCAATTACTGGGTCACTTGTTCATCCACAAAGTTTCAGCTTCTCATAGAAACCTTTTTCCAAAATGCTTTCCTTGTCTCATTTTCAACAATGCACTAAAGCAGGTCTTGAGAAAACAAGTATTAGGTTGCCTCATAAGTTTTTCAATTTTGACTTTCTAAAACAATAACTCGCACATTTCTCAACTCTGATTAAAATGCAGGGTACCATTCGATAGAGCAAAATAAGCTCTATAAGACGGCTTGTAAGCGTTTGCACCGGCTTCAGCACATCACGAGTTAGAAGCCGATATCTGAGAACTTCTGGATGTCCAAAAAACTGGAAATTGTGTGTAACTTTGCCCGAAGAAAACTTACCAGGTCCCAAACTCATTCACGCATATATGCTTCATACAACATACTCATATATGTCGTTGCTGTGTTTGTTTCTATGTTAGAAACCGAGAAAACTAAAATTTTCGTGCTTCCAAAAAAGCGATGCTGCGCTGTTTTCACACAGATAAATGTATACTACAGGCTTCAATAATACACTGGTAAATTTTCAGCTTCCCGGAAGCGCTTATGCTTGAGAAATACCGAATTTAGTTTTTTTCGCTTAGGTATTACATGTTGAAATTAATATCTCTTGGGAACCAGAGCGTATAGAAAGCTGGAAATTTGTGACTGTACTTCTATAGGTCTGTAGTATACATTTACCGTAAAAAACAGCGCAGCATCGCTTTTTTGGAGGCTTAAAAATTTTGTTTTTCTTGGTTTCTAGCACAGAAACAAACACAGCAACGGCATATATGAATGTGTTCTGTGGAGTGTACATGCATGAGCGAGTTTGGGAATTGGTAAGTTTTCTTTGAGCAAAGTTACAGAAAATTTTCAGTTTTTTGGGCATCCAGAAGTTCTCAGATTTCGGGTTCTAACTCGTGATGTGCTGAAGTTGATGCAAGCACTTACAAGCCATCTTATAGAGCTTGCTTTGCTCTATCGAATGGTACCCTGTATCTCAATCAGAATTGAGAAGTATGTGAAATATTGCTTCATAGAGTCAAAATTGAAAAACTTATGAGACAACCTAATATTTTGTGCAAATAATTTTCTTCGCACCATTAAGATCATAAAAATCTAAATCAATTAGATTTATGCAGTTACGAAGTTTCTGAATTTTCCATTAGGGGGTTTCAGTGTGAATTTTGCTCGCAAAAGTCTATGAGCTGTTACTCACTTAAAAATAATTTTCGAGTTGTTGCGAGATTTGCGAGTTTTTTTTTGCGAAATAGTTGAAATATGTAATGTGTGAATCGGAGCGCTTGTATGATGAAAACTGAGCTATTTTGGCAGCTAGATTAAATGTATCGTTAGGTAAACCCATCTAGACCGAGTAAGGGTGGCCTAGCGTATACCTCTTGCACTTCAGCAGAGTACCACTCCCTCCCCCCTCCCCCGAAAAGTGATATTAAACACGCTAAAAGAGCTTTCAATGGAGATCACAATGGGGTCAGTGAGGGCCTTTATAAGCAGCCTTTCTGTTGCTGTGACCTCGCACGTGTATTTGGGCGCGCAGCGATAAATCGTTCTCGCGTCTCTTTTGATGTGTTAGTTCATTTTCTCTTATTTGCGGAGCTTTTGATTTCTAGTTGAAACGGTAGGCCCGCATGACTATTGTACTTTGGGAGATTTGAGAGTTTTTTTCCGAATATTCAAATATCGAGTGATATTCGAATTGATTTTCAACTCGAATAGTTTAAATGTACAATTCATGGTGAAAAAAAAGTTTATGGGTGACATTATGAACCTAAAATCCTACTCCTACAACAATGTTGCTGAAAATCGAAATTCGAAGAAGATCATTGTTTCAAATCGTGGCTTCATGAGTGATGAAATCAAGCAATTACTGCGGCATAAAAAGACGGCTGCTTTGCATACTATTCAGATTAACGTACGGGGCCATTCAAACATATGTATTCTGTTGAGTGTTGTGAGATGATATACAGGGGGTCCCAAAACTACCTAGAACCAGGGCTAGATGAAAATGGAAAAAACGAAGTCTCCCTTGACTTTTGGGAATTTTTACGAAGTCCCCTTTGACCCTCAACCAAATTTCCTCTAAAAACCTGAAAAATTCCCCAAAATCCCCCAAAAAACGAAACGTCGACTAAAAAAAAAGAAAAAAAAGGTCGCCGTCGCCAATTTTCCGTGTCTCTTCGGTCACAAAAACGAAACCCCCTTTGCTTTACGTCCCAAAAAACGATACCAGCTGGCTTACAAGCCACCTGTGCCGAGCCGTGCCTAGAACTAGCCAATCTGAGTCAGAAAGTCTTTTGCCAAACTTTGAGTTCGTTCTTTAGTGCTGGCTTCCTTAGATCTACCATGGAGCAACTGTCGATCGCTATTCATTGTTATAGAATTACCATAGGACTAATTGAAGGGATTTGAGACGATGGGGTCCATATTTTGCCTATGAAAGGAAATCAAAGAACCGACAACGCTTATATTGGCTTTTTAGAGTCAATGGCTTTGATTATAACGTTAGTATTCATCTATACCTTTTTTAAGTCGTACCAGTAAACAATAATAAATGTTTTCAATGTTTTTCAAAAACGTGATAAATGTTTTGGAAGAAATTTTCAAACGGCATGTATCGCAGTGGCTCTAAATGCTGAAAGTTCCTACCGTATTCCCACAATAACAAAACGCCGTTTCTTGCTGTAGATGTAAGCTGAAGCTAGTCCTGCAGAAACCCAAAGGTTGGCAAAAGCTTTCAAGTGAGTTACTAGAGATCTAGCAGCGTGTAGATAATTTTATGACCCTGTATATGCTATGGAATGTAGTGCTATGTATATCGAATTTTCTATGATTTCATAACCATCGCATTTTCCAATAGTCAATCTTAACGAATTTTCGAATATTCGGTGCTCATCAAATATTCGAATATTCAATGAACATCAAGTGAACGAATTAGTGACTATCGAATATTCGACTATCGGATAATTTGCGAATGTTGAAAGTTTCGAATATTCGACTTCCGAATAATATTAGAAAATGAAAAATCTCGAATATTCGACTATCGAATGATATTCGAAATCTAAAATTTTTCAAATGTTCGAATTTTCGAATCATTCGCATTCGAATGATTTAATGATCAAATAATCATTCGATTCGGTCCAAAATATATTAAATACCCTTTAATTCATGGGATTGGCGAATAGATGGCGACCGCTCGCACCCGCCACGCAGTCTGCCTCTCTCGCGAGCGTGTTCTCTGGTTATTCTCTAGCCTTAATTAGGCCTCGAAGACCCGTCTTCCAGACGCCAATCCCGATGAAAAAGGGTATATAGCCAACATACCACAAAAGTGAACAACCCATCTTCTCTTCATAGCATTCCTTATCTTAGAACCAATGTTAAAGGCGTAAGACTTTTTGCTGCACATGATGGCAAGTAAAAAGGCAAAAAAAGACGAAACATAAACGACAAGAAGCGAAGACAGATGAGTTTGATCAGGTGGATAGAGCACTGCCAAAAAGTGATCCAACCTTAACATTAGGTTTTCTACCTTTTTGTAGGTATTCGATGAGAATGCCGTTTCCGGGTCAAATGCTTCATCACGTCTCGACACGGGCAGGCTGTTCGGCATCTGATCGTTGCGCATTGCTCGAGCGATGTCTACGGACAGCTCATCCTGAAGGAGCACGATGTACAAAAAAGGAGTCTTCATAACTGACTTACTCGCAATTGGTCCCGCCATTAATTCTACGGGTCGGGTTCGGGTCAAGCGCGGGGAGTGATTAACATATCAGTAACTTCATCAGTAGCGGGCAGCTTTGCTCGGTGGTCGCTTCCTCTCATGCGCAAGGCTATAAGGTGAGCGCTAACCCTATTAGCGTTTTCCTCGTTTGTTTTAGCTCTGTGGCTGTTGAGTTGTACCCGATGTGGTGAAAACGAAGTATTTGGGAGCGTAGTTGCGATAGGGGGAACAACTGATCTTGACCCTTCACGTTTGAGTCAGAACCCGGATGACCCCCTTCACTGAAGCTGATTTGAGAAAGTAATTTGGAGTGAATCATGATCAAAAAGCTGTTAACGCGTTTCGGACCGGTGCTGCACAGCACCCTGCTTTGAAGGATCTTTTTGTATTTATAGGAAGTTTTCTTTTAGTCGAAGGTTATCAAGTCAAAAGCCTAAGCTTCTACTTCTCAAAGACTTTGTAGAGTTGTGCCGCCTATATTTGTTCAGGAGATATGAGCACAAATCGAACAACACTTGCAACGAAGCGCGGCAACGCAAGCGACGCGTGCGACGTCGCAACTTTCCTTTTCGATATCAAAGAAAAACCGTAGTTCCGATACTGATGTGTACCAACTACAACATAGACACTTTTGGAAACTGAGTTCTTGTCCCTATCTTATAGGAAAGCACAGAAGTAATTCACAAGCGACAAAACTCAAACACTTCGAATCCATCCAAAACTTTGGGTATGAAGCTTATCTGACAAGCTGATTACAGATATAGCACACAGTCTACGAAATAAGGCTTTTGTTGGCTAACGGCTGAAAGTGCACTCTTTCTCGCAGCGCGCGATTTCGCGGTACGAAACGTGTTAGAGATTCACTCCAAACACAGCAAACATTATTCCGTAGTATTTCTTTCAATTATAATACAATGAGAATTATTATAGTACCCTATTTTCAGGTGTATAAGCCGCACCCTTTTCACTCTAAAGGCGAACACGCCAAAAGACTGGCTGTCATCATGGAGCGCGTTAAGTGAGAGCAGTATGCGATAAGGCGACCGCTTCGCGAGACATATGCGCGGCGGCACGCCTGGGTCTGCTCGCGTTTAGAGCAAAAAGGGTGCGGCTTATACACCTGAAAATAGGGTAGTTGCTTTTTTTCGTAACTTTGAATGCGTCTACAATAGATAGCAGTAACACAAAAAATTAAAAATTCGTTCTTGAAAAAAAATTCAAATGTTTTTTGATTCTTATGTACGTTTTTGAAGTGTTTATATTTCCAAATTATTTTTATTTCGCGAATTTAGTTGATTTGGAAATACAAACACTCCAAAAACGAACATAAGAATCAAAAAACATTCGAATTTTTTTCAAGAACCTCAATGGTTGGCGCTTGTTTTCTGCCTCTTTATTTCATGTTTTTTGGAAAAAAAAATTATTAGAAATATTTATTTTCAAGTCTTCAGGTTTCTTAAGGCTTGTCACAGTTTTAAGGTAGATAAACAGATAAACGCCTTTGCTTGTAAAAAAGAGGAAAAAACCATTTAATCAGTAAGTCTATATCTACGGTAAGTTTACCAGGTTTCGATGCTCGTAAAAACCAAAAAAAGTCTTGCTAAAGATTGCAAAAACAGCTCAGTGTTACATGCACTGATTACCATGATTACGTCAGTGATTATTTTGTTTTATGAAATATAGGAGAATTGGATGCATTTTTTATCACCTAAAGCGAATCAGAGATAGCGCTCAGATAATTTCCTCATATCTCACTGTGCTAAGGAGACCTTAAAAAAAGATCTCAGCTTTCGAATGGTATAAAGCATTTTAGGGCTTTTTTGCCTCCCGGCTCTTAAAAGCACTTGTTCCGGTGACCGATAAATGCCAATGCATTGAGGGAGCTGAGTGGAACAAGCATGTAGTAAATATCTCCACCCCATTTCTAAAAACACGAAGGCGCAATATCTTCGGGCGCGAACGCGGCTTTGTTAGCCGCAGAGCGCATGGGGTGCGGATTCTACAACGGTGAGGATAAGCGAGCGTCGCGTTCGCGCACGCTCAACTAATATCGCCATTGCGCCTTCGTCATGCAGCCTTTACCTCTCGAAAGCTTAGGAAAAGGGGATTCGGCGTAGACCGTCGACTTCTTTCTACCTCCCCCCCTCTACCGAGAGATTCACTGCATTTTATTTGAAATCATGTCCATTTTCAACAGCAAAAGTCTGCCAAACGAAGACCTAATCACTGCTGGTTATCTCCTATGTTACAAAGCAAGTCTTTATTAACAAACGTGGCCCGTCCACTTCCTCGTAGCATTCATTTGGAGAGCAGAAAGTGAGGACACAAAATCAGTTGATATATCTATATATATAAAACTCAAACTTTGTAAGTGTGTTCGTTTGGTTGATGGTTCGTTATGGAAACGCCCGCCAATGAACCGATCCAGCTGAAACTTTGCACACATATGTATTCAAACCCGGAAGTGGTTTAGCGCTACTTTTTGCTGCAATTCGCTGGGCCATTCTATTGATTTATTGATTTTTGGCATAAGAATGAGTTCTCAACAACGGCTAACGAGTCGATTCCATGATTTGGTGTAAACAATAGCAGTAGAGCTCATTCGGTTTTCGCGGTTGGAAGGAAGCGGTAATTCAAGACGAGCCTACAGCAGGTGAGCTACTTTGATATAGGAAACCCTTCAGCGCAGCATAACGGCTAGGTGGGAAGGGGGGGGGCGGAGTGAGGTGGGGAGGGGGACGGGCTGGAGCAGGGACCAGCTATCGTGATCCGGGCCTGGACCGGGATGAAAATATGTGATGAAAATGCAAACTGATCCGTAAGTACCAGAACAGTTTTAGCACAGCTCGAACTATGCGTTTGCTGGAAGTGTTCCGCAACATGCGGATCAGTATGAACCCACCCTAGACAGAATGGCAAACTAATGCTTGAAACCAAACCAGTCGAAAATACGTATGGAGATGAAACTAAACTTACTTTTGGCATCGTTTGGTTGACTACTAACAGAAAATAGTTGGGAGTTGTCACTTCCATAAATTCAGTGACAAGGCACTGCAGAATTATTAGGCCACCGAATCTCGCCACAACAATTTAAAATGACCCTCAACTTTGCGCAAATGATATGCTAACAGCTGTTACATCGGAAATTGCAGACAATTGCATCGGAAAGTTCGCGGCCCCAAAGCGTGTTACATGGCGCGCCGCGGCCCTTAAAATTTCAGCCGCACACGCCGCGGCCCATGTAAATTTTGCCGGGAACGCCGCGGCCAAAGTTGAAATTGGGAAGAGGTTATCGGGAGAGTCGCGGCCCAATCACCTCATTCGGCGGGCCGCGGGTCTTACCAAAGGCCGTACTTCTTACACGCTGTAGGTTAAGGCGCAACCCGCGTGGAGTACGCCGCAGTGATGGGGCTACCCTAAGTGTTTGTAAGGGTCGGTAATAGCTTTTCGGGTTTGGTCCTGTCTGACAGTTAAGTTTTTATGCTTACGAAACAAACTTCAGCAGTCGGATGAGTCTTATCGACGACATTAGATGATGTCGACAGATGAGCTAATTAGTTGTTCAATTACTCAAATCGTTGTCGTGAAAGACAATCCAAAAGATTTTCACTCTTCCTAGGCCTCACAAGCATGCTAATCGGGTCGGGCGCTTACAGGATGCGCCGCGGTCACTTATCGGGTCCAATATCGGTCATACCGGGCAGCTCGCGGCATGGATGATTGGTGGCCGAGCAAGCACCCGCGAACTTCCCGATGCAGTTGTCTGAGAGGTAGCTTTCAATTCGCAATGTTCACGTGTGCATTCGTGAATTGGCATGTAGATGTGTGCACAGGGAAAGGTTGTACAGGTATAGGGATAGGACCTTTATCGTAGTGTTTTGACAGGGCCGGGCGAAGCCGGGAAAGCCAGCTAGTAACTTATAATAACGGGCTAAGGGTTGTTTACGTTTGTGTGTGTGTACGTGTGAATCTATGTCTGTCACGAAATTCGTAGAGCGAGCTCTTGTAAGGGTCTTGAAATGAATTTTCGGTAGTAGCACCCTATCAGCTTTAGGTAAAGTATGCAAAATCTCAAGTCCATTCGATAATTGAAACCTGTGAAATTGTGCGCTAAAAGGATCCACGCGGCATTTCGCGCGCCAAAGTGGGCCTGTAATTTGACTTTTTCCAAAGTCGTGGTTTCGTTTAGCAAGTAAATTCGCAAACCATGAACTCTAGCCCAAAAAGTGAGCAAAAAGTTGACTTTACGCAAGATTGGCGCCAAAAAGGAATAATTGCATAGACGGTCGATTTGTCAAGGTTTTACCTGGAAATGTGAGAAAATTTTTGCGCAAAAATGTAACTCACGGTTGTCATCATCTTTATGGCGACTATCAAGCCATTATAACCCAGTAACTAGTTCGGAATCGCATTTAAACTTTTGGAGAATACTTTCTTACCCTCACAGTCACCGATGTTACATGAAAAAAGTTTTAGAATGAGTAGTTGTTTACATTTCATTCGTGATGATCGGCATCGCAAGGTAAGTTTCAAAGCCATCATTTTGGGACTACGAGAAGGGCATGTGGATAGTAGAGCCAGTGCGAGCCTCTGCGAAGCAGAGGTGACGCACTGGTACCATATAGGGCGGGGAGGGGGGGGGGGCTCGCAGTGCGATGAACCATGGCCCGGGCTGGACCGGGAAAGCCAACTAGTGAAGTACATAAAATCCATCATATCTCGCGGCACAGAAGACCTAGAAAAAAGTCGACGGCCTATGTCGATTCTGCATGACCTCAGCTTTCGAATGGTATGTAAACTACGGGCATTTTGCTTTCAGGGCTCACTTACCCCCTTCACCTTGCGAAGATGGGAGTAGCAGAGACCCCTTTTACCTGGAGAGGGCCCGGCTCCCCTCTATCGCAACTATGCTTGGGAGGACAGATTGTAAATAT